CCAAGAAATGGTAGGTGTCGTATATAAGGAAGTACGACACCGGTGTCGTGCATAACACTTCCGAAAATACATGCCACGGAAAGATAGATTATTTTCTACTGCTACGAAGACTAGTTGCTGCCATCGTATGCAAAGGTCAAACCGTGTCCGACTACTGGTGGTTTCGACGCACGATTTTTCCTGACAATCACCGGAATGCACGATCGGTTGAAATGGAGGAAGTCCTTCACGTATCCTGTATTAGATTAAATTAGACCATCTGACCACTCAGCACTGACTCGGTGGTCAATAGACTTACGATCCAAGCCTCCTCGCAAAAAGTTCCACGCACGGGTTTGAATCCCAGCGGTCCACTTACACAAGAATCACAATATATTTTCCATCCAGCGTCTGGCGAGGAGTCCATCCCCTCCCTATTCACTCACAAACCCACATGACATGTGTTCCAGCCGGATGCTAATGAGCTTTGAGCATATCTTTCGTTAGATGAAATGAGACTATCTGACCAGTCAGGACCATCTGACCAGTCAGGTCAGATGGTCAATTTAATCTAATATCTTGACCTCTGCCGAGCGAACCACATTTGGTTTGGGCCAGCCGAGGGCTCGTGCGGTAGCTGCGGGCTGTGGACACACAGCGCAACAGGTGTTTTTGTGCCGATTGACCGTGTTTTCGGAGAGTTTCGCGCGGTGTTGCACATAAATAGCCTTACCTACGACACCGCGGAGGTGGTGCTGTGACACGGTGTTAGGCCATATCTCAGCAACCATCAGTCACTTCGGACCAAAAGAAGTCTCGTGCGACAGCTACGGGCCGTGGGAACGGGAACACAACGAACGCGGTTTCGAAGCAAGTTGTGCGGTGTCGAAATATGTTTTTACCTTGAAAACGACCGCGGTACTATATATATTGGAATGAAGGGCCGTTCGTTGTTCACATTCGCCAATGTTGCACCATTCCAGCCACCCAGCATGTCATAGTGAACAATAGTCGTAAGGGAGTGACAAGGTTCAGGTCTCCCCAACTTTCTACAGTTCTGCTATTAAGTACCTAAAACGCCCAGGAGACACCAATGGGCAGCCCATGAGTGCCCGACGGGTTCCCCATAGGCACTTTGGTGCCCATCGGTAATGCTCACGAACAAGCGCATGGGTAGCCCGTGGGTAGCCCATGGACAGCCCATGGGCAGCCAGCCCATGGGCAGCCCATGGGCAGCCCATAGGCGGCCAATCAGAGCCCTTCAACGGGAACCAGTGTACTCCTAAACAATCGGAACCAGTGTACTTAAACAATGATTATCTGCTTTGGAACGGGCAAAGTACCGGCTAATAACCCTAACGCTAACCCTAACCCTCACCCCTAGCCCACATGATTCGTGCTGGTTGGCGCTGGTGGCTAGGTACAGGGATATAATGTGCTGGTGGCTAAGTTTTAGGTTGATATGCTGGTGCGGAGATCTAGGTTGAAGCGCCCGAGGTGGGCACTTCACGGGCACTTCATGGGTGGGCCGGCCCATGAAGTGCCCATTGACGGCCCGTGGGCGGTTTGGCAAAACTGCCGGTAGTTTGGGAGATTGGAAGGTTCAGGCAAGGAACACACAACAAACTGTTCTTCGCCATGTTGCGATTCCTTCGTTGGTGATGATTGATTACTATCTTGTACCGAAGAAGGGTTCCTCTCCGTCCGCCCCTCCTGCGGTGCTTGCCTTGGGTTTTTCACGCGAGAAGAGTGCCGCTTGATTGAATAGATTTCGTGTGTGCCGAGACGACCGCAGTTAACCGTGCCGGGCAATTTCCTTCGACCTCAACCACCGTTGTGGGGTGCAGCAGCTCCTTCAGAGGCCGAAAGACAAAGAAAAATGGTTGACTACCGTTCGTTGCATCATTAATAACGTGTGGCAGGTGTGATGGGGAGGCCAAGAGGGGCCCCGCGAGTCGTCTCCATCACAAATACCTACATCATCCAAGAACCCCAACTTCCTCCGCTAGGCGCGAGATACGTTCTACGAAACTCACGAACTGCCACGTAAAACGGCGAAAACTATCAAAACCAACGTTTATTGTTTTTCTTTCGAATTGCCTTTTTGCATTAATGTTTTCTC